TTTAAACTGATTATCTTTTGTATGTTTATCAAAATAAACCATTTCTATGTTGAGTTTCTTTCTGCACTGTTTTATTTTGTTAATTTATCTGCCTTTATGCCAACATCATACTGTCTTGATTACAATTAAAATCAGTTAGTGAGTGCTCCAATTTATATTACATTATTATACTATTAAAATCAGTTTTAGATTATTAAAATCAGTGTGAGTGCTCCAATTTAGTTCTTCTTTTTCCAAATTTTAATGTCTTTTTCATTTCCACGTGAAATTCAGAGTTCATTTATAAGTTGTCTAATTTATATCTGGGGCTTATTCATGATATTCCAGTATTGTCTGTTTATCTTTTACCTAGTGATATGTTTTTTTTTTATTCCTGATGTCACTATTTTGTAACTTTTCTTTTGACAATTTTATTAGTTTTTTTTTTATTTTTCAAAGAATCAGTTTTTGGCTTTATTGGTCTTTTTCTATTTTTGCTTGCTTTAAATTTCACTGATTTCTGCTTTTTATTTTCTTCATTGTTTCCTTTTGACCGATTTTAATTTTTCTTGCTTCTTAGTGTGAAAAGGTGATTAACCTTTTTTCCTCCTCTAAGCAGTTAATGCTATAAATATTGTACTTAGGTATCACTTTAGCTACATCTTACAAATTTTAATATGTTGTGTTTCCATATTCATTCAAAAATGTTTTATAATTTTTGGGGGGACTGTTTCCTCCATAGGTAATTTAGAAGTGGTATGTAGTTATTGGTTACATTATATTAGAGAACATACTTGTTACAGTAACAATTTTTAAAAATTTGTTAGGTTATGTTTTATAACCCAGAATATGGTAACTGTTCCATATGTACTAGAAATGGAAGTGTATCTGTTGATGTTGAATGTTCTATAAATACTAAGTCGAGTTGGTTGTTAGTACTGTTCAGATCTTCTGTATCCTTGTTGATTTTCTTCTTTTATCTATTACTGAAAGGGGAACACTGAATCCAACTATAATTGTGGACTATCTCTGCTTTAGATTCAGTTAGTTTTGAAGCTCTGTACTGTATGCCTACACATTTAAGACTTGCTTTTTCTTAATGAATTGATCCTGTTATGAATATGTAATATCTCTTTTTAACCCTGATACTGTTCTTTGCTCTGAAGCCTATTTTGTTTGAAATAAAAATAGCCACTCAGCATTCTTTTGAGAGTGTTTGCATGGTCTATTTTTTCCCATCCTCCTTCCTTTAGCCTACCTATATTGTTTATTTGAAGCATCTAGGAGATAGCATAAACTTAGTTCACTCTGTTGGGTAGTTCAAGTGATTCTCATAATTTTTTAGTTGATGGATAAGACTTTTTTTAAACCTTTTATTATTTGTAAATTTAGAACAATTTTGTTTGTTCTCTGAGGTTATTTTGCCCATTTTCTAGGTTTTTTTTAAAGTCCTGTTTCTCTTTACTTACTTTTTGTAGTTCATCTTACTTTATCTCTTCTGATTTTTGACTGTATCTCTTTGAGCAATGCTTTTAGTAATTGCTCTAGGAATTCCAAAACACATACTCAACTTTCCAACCTACTTAGAATTGGTACTCACCGCTTCAGCTGGGATGTAGGAATATTGCAAACATGTAGGTCTGCCTTATCAGAATTATGCTACATAGTATACCCACACTGAACTTATATACATACATTATACCTACCTACATTATATTTACATACATTGAAAGATCATTGATTGCTACAATTTTTAAATTTCAACTGCCAGACATGCTTAAAAGAACTTGAGAAGAATAGTCTGTTATATTTACCCAGATATTTGTCATCCCTTCCTTCACTCCTGATTTTCCAATTTGCATTCTGGTATCATTTCACTTTTATATGAAGACATCTATTAATGTTTTTAGTACAGGTATTACTGGCTGTAAATTATCTTATTTTTCTTTATTTGAGAAAGGTACTATTTCAGTTTCATTCCTAAAGGACATTTTCCCTGAAAATAGAATTCTAAGTTACCAGCTCTTTTCTTTTAGCACTTTGTAAATGTTGTGCTGGTTCCTTCTGGACACTGTGATTTCTGGTCAGAAATCAACAGTCATCTCAATTACTGTCCCTTCCAGCAATGCAGCATTGTTTCTGGCTGCTTCTACAATGTTTCCCTTTGTCTTCAGTTTTCAGCGGAGTGATAAGGTATATAAGCATGTATTTTTTTGGTTTAATCTATTTGAGGTTTGCTTCATTTCTTGAATCTCTAGATCTATGCCCTTCATTAAACTTGAGAAGTGTTCAGTATTATTTTTCTAATTTTTTCTGGAACTCTGACACAAATGTTAGACTGTTACTTGTTCTCAAAGTTCTGTTCATTTTTTTATTCCCTGTGTTCCAGTTGAATACTTTCAGTTATTTTAATTTTCAGTGTTAAAATTTCCATTTTTTTTCCTTTCAAACTTCTTTTTCTTTGTTGATACTTTCCACGTTAACATTTGTTTCAAGAACGTTTGCGATTGCTTGCTCAAGCATATTTGTAAAACCTGCTTAAAAGTTCTTGTCAGATCATCCTAACATCTATGCCATCTTATCACTGGATGTGTTACCTTTGTCCACGTAAGTTGACACTTGCATAGTTTTTCACTTGTCTAGTAATTTTGGATTCTATTCTGAACAGCTTGAATGATATTATGAAACCCTGAGAGTTGTTTAAGTCCTATAGTGAATACTGGTAGCAGGCAATCCACTTGGTCAGGTGAAGACTGCCTCTCTGGGTTGTGGTTACAAGTGGGCTCAGTTTTCAATGTTTTTGCAGGACTAATCTGACCTGAAGCTGGTATGTCATTTAGAGGCCGGTCCAGAACCTGTGTAGGATTTGTTATCTCAATTCTCCAAGGCTTTTATTGGCTAATTTGGATCAGCTCTATCCACTCACAGGTTGGGGATGTACCCAGAAGTTCAGCTTGTTTCCCAAAGCTCCTCCCTTTCTGTATCCTCCCTGGTATTTCCTGGTTCCTTCACATTTTTTGTTTTGAACTTCTGGCCAGAATTCCATGACTGTGCCAAGCAGGGTCAGGCAATGAATGAGAGAGGGAAAAAAGGAACAGGCTTGGAGTCTGCTCTTAGGCCTTGACTCCCTTGTGAGAAGAAGGCCCTCTCTCACATGGTTGCCTCCTGCAGGCTGCCTACAGACTTATCTATAGGATGGTGTACAGAGGGACAGCTCTCAGGAAGGAAACCTTGTGAGCTTTAGAATTTCCTTTCCTGATGTTTTCCTTTCCTTTCCTCTAGCTGGAACTAGAGGGTCTCTCCTGGAGCTCTCCCTGTGGGCATCACAGAGCTCAAATCTGGTCCAAAGGCTGCACTAGAGTAGGGTGGGACACACCGGAAGAAAATGGACTGAACTCACTGCTGGCTCAGTGGTACTTTGAATTCTGGTTGCTTCTCTAATCTTCCTGCTGCTAATATATTCCTGAGTATTCAGCTGTGTGATGCTTCTTCCAGGATTTATAACGCAGTTCAGTGGAGACAAAGGCTGATGTGTGCACTTATTCCATCTTACTCAGAAGGCAGCTCTCTGCCTAGTGTTTGTTCCATTATGTGCCAGATACTATAGTCAAAAACCTGTCTATACAGCCACATGAAACCCACAATGATGTGCCCTCCCTACAGAAAGTACTTCTGCACTCCTGCATGAGCATACAGCACTGGGCCTGCTTGATGAGGGGCTAAGACCTTGGTGTGGGCTCCTCTCTGTAGCCTGTCTCTTCCAGGGGATACTGCCTGCTCCCATGCACAGCTTTAGCAGGGCCATCCTGGAGTCCCTGAAATCTACACCTTTTCTCTCTAGCTAGCAAGGCAGCTGAAGCCACACTCCAACAGAAATGGTAGATGCCCACAGGAGCAAGGGGCCAAGACTGAGGTCTTGGTCTCTGTCCTCAGGCTCGATAATTCTCCACTATCTTCAGATGGCCCATGCCTTTGAGCAGGTGATTCTCAAACCTGTCAAATTTTTGTGGTCATCCTCAGTGGATGCTTCATCCAATTAACACATCTGCGCCCAGTTTGCTGTTCTTTTTCTTATTTTTCCCCCCTCCCTCCCTTCACAGATAAAGAAAAAGGCTGTGAAAGGTTTCCAGAGATCATGTGGTATGCAGGTGCAGGATGATGGTTTAACCCTGTGCTTTTCATGTCCTACTACACTGCCCCTTAAACCTTTCTTGTATCTGGGAGTACATACACAATAATCACGATGTAATATATAAACCCATTCTCATTTTAAAAGTGAGTCTTTCAGACAGGGTGCTGGTCCATGACTTCTCAGGGAAGCCTGGACTCATGCCCTTGACCAGAGAGCACCTCGCCTCAGTGTGGCTTCGGTGAGGTTTTACTCTTCCCTAATGTATGTATCATCAAAAGTACAAACACATGATAGGAAATCAAAATTGATTTGCGAGTATTTTTTGAGTATACCATAATGACAGGCCAAGTTACTTAAGTAGCAATTTTCCTGCCAACGGACAGGCAAGTTAAACCTTATTATTTTCAGCTTCTCAAAGAACTGTAAAAATCAAGACTAACCAGAAGTCCAGGGTGAGTGTACTGTTGTACGTGTGGACAGGTGCTGGCACAGGTGCTGACCAATAACACTAGCTACAGCAGGTGTAGATGGTTTATGATCAGGCAGTCTCATAACTGAAAAGGCCTTTGGCATCCACACCCATGCAAAGCAGACCCCACAGGGTATGTTCACCACAGGTGTACTGCCAAGTGGGAAGGCCAAGGTGCAAACTTAACAGGCAGGCAGGAAGGGCCTCATCAACACACACCTGCACCTTCCCTATACAGTGTCAGAGCTGATGGAGCTGATGCTGCCTTGATTTGACTCGACTAACCCAGTGGAAAACAGACCAGGACACAGCCCCTGCACAGCAGTGGGTGCCCAGAGCACACCACAAAGGGAGGCACAGAAGCCCACGGGGTACCACAGAGGGGACTGAGTGGGAGGTGGGGGGTTCTGGCGCTCCTACCTTGGCTGGCTTCTGATTTCAGGGAGCTGACAGGAAGCGGAGGTGATGATTCAGGGACATCAGCTGCGGGGTGTTCAGCCACCGGACATATGATAAACCACCTCTTCCCTGTGTGCAGCACTGAGAATATAAACAGCACACTGAGAGGGAGCGAATGTCTCTCTAGACCAGGAGGTGCCCGCCACCACACCAGACCTGCACAGGGGCTCCAGGGAACTTGTTTGTACCTATGAGGTTTTCTTCAGAAGGGTGCAGACTGGAAGCCATGTTCCCATCATACTCCTAAATAGTGACCCTCCGAACACAGGTGGTCCCCACGTGTCCACCTCCCATCTGCTCTTTTCTCTCTCACAGCGATGAGGAGTGGATAGCCAGCCCAGGGGCACCACCCTGGCATCCCAGGACTCTCAGAAGTGCCTAGCTTGGGTGCAGTTCCTGCGATGCTTGCAGAACCAGCCATGGAGGTGACGATCCCAGTGAGGGGGACCCTTGTTCTCCAGGCTCCTGCAGCCCCTTCAGTCGAATGCCCAGAGCCCCTGATGCTGTGCACAAGGGGGCTTCTATCAAACACTGGCTGCAGAGCACAGAGGCGGGACATGGGGGAAACGGCTCTTCCCTGAGGTGTGGCATCTGCTGTGACAGGGTGGCTGGAAGCAGGTGAGACAGACTCACCATTCTGCTGGTACACAGGGGCATTTGCTGGGGACTGTCTGCCCTCCTGGAGGAGAGAGGACAGGAGGTCAGTGCAGCCAGTGTCCAGGGAGCAGTCCCTCCACTGCTTCCTGCCACCAACCCCTTCCCGCAAGAACCTGGGTTCTCACCTCCCCCTCCACCAGACCACAGGTGCCCAGGGGCGGCAGGCTGGCCCCTGCATCGGAGCCCCGGTCAGCATCCGTGTCCTCGCTGAGCATGTCCTCTGCCTTGTCCATAACATCCTTCATCTGCTCAATAAACGTCTCACGCTCAGCTGGCAGGATGAAGTCATGTTCCACCTACGAGGAGACCACAGCAGCTGGTGACAACCTGCCACGGGCCACAGCTGTGCTGGGCTCTCTCAGGAATGTAGAGCTCTCCATCCTGTCCCAGGCCCCAGAAGACAGAGCGAATGGGCCCCAGAAGAGGACATTCTCAGGGGTTGACAAGAATGGCTAAATCAGGCGAAGGTCACCTGGAGAGGTGGTCCATATGGCACTGTCCTGTCCTGAACCACAGCTGGTCATGAACACTCCAGCCACCCTCAGGCAGGGTATGGATGCACAGGACCAGGGGGACTGGGATGGGGACCATGGAGGAAAGGGTGTCCTAGGGACACACACCAAGCAGGCCACGAGAGGTGAAAAGGCAAGTCTATGCAGGGACAGGCTGAGTCTGCAAGGACAGTAAAGCTATGTGAGGTGGCCACCAGCTGCTTCTCCATGCCCAGCCTTCGTGTCAGACTTCCAACCTTGGCCCAGGCACGTGGGTGGGCAGGGCTTAGTGTCCAGTGAGCGGCCTTGCCAGGGCTCCCAGCATTCCCTGCTTCCCAGAAGTGACTCTGGGAGTTTACTGCCTAGACTCTCAGGCTGGAGGTAGGCAGTTCAAGCCGTAGACTCTGTCCATGAGCCCACACCCATTTCCCCCTAGAGTGTCTTAAGCCCAGCCTTCCTCCCACAGAACTTTCCCCAGAGGCCCAGGGCTCCGTTCAGAGCTGAGTCCTGAGAGTGCATCTCCAAAGTTAGTCAGGTTGGGCCTGGCCTGAAGCTTGGCCAGGGAGACCGCTTGTGGCACACATCTGGGTTCTGACCTTACCTTTGTCCCACCGTGCACACTGCTGTGCACATCCTCTCCCTCGGCCTCTCAGACCCTGTCCACACAAGCAGCCAACCCTCCTTAGCGCAGCGTCCACGTGTTCCAGCCGCAACCCTCGTGACAGGCTGGAGCTAAGGCCAAGTGCTCTTCAGTCCACGCGAGCCACTAGCTCCTCACAGCCACAGCAGTCGCACATAAGGTGACTATCTTCCCCCACTCACCCAGGCCCGGGGAAGCAATGACGGCCCCGGGCCTGGCAAGCGAGGAGAGGGCAGAAGGAGGTCCCACACCACAGCCTGGACACTGCAGTCACTGTCCCCAATTCTCACATGAGCACAAGCCCCCCCCGGCTCTTACTGTGCTCTGCTGTGTCCTCAGCCACTGAGGCAGATGGGATGCAGTAATCTCAGAAGGCTCTACAAAGACTTCTCAGACAGGTGTCCACTTGTCTCCCTGCCTAGTGCGGTCCAGTCTCTGCCCTTCTGCCCTTGCCTTAGTTACCCATCTTTCCAGACCGCCTCAGGAATGGGTCTATCTGCCCCACTTAAGCTGGCTGCAGAGCAGTGGAGCCCCAGGCACACACTCAGACAAGGAGCTGGCTTGAGTACAGCGCGGGAGTGCAACACTGTGTAAGAGGAGCACCCGGGTGTGATGCAGGATGCTGTGTGCGAGGACACACGCAGTGTTCCAACACCACACAAAATCCAACTACAGCCTCTTAGCTCTTCCTGCCAAGTATATATTTCTTTTTAAAGAACGTAAAATTAGTTGAAAACAAACACAGAGGAAAACCTAAAAATATAGGGTGCAGGTATTACTGGGAATTAAAGCCAACTTAATCCAAACACCCATAGCTCCTCCTTTACTGCAGGGTTGGCAAGGGGGTCTTTGAAAAGTAGCAAACCCGAAGCCCAGCCAAACCACCAGTGACAGCACACTAAGAACCCCTGCCCTCCACACCCAAGAAGAGGGTCTCTGGGAGGGAGGAATTTGTCTGAAGAGTATCCCATCCCACCAGCCAATACCCATCCGTCCGCTCAAGCTCCTGATGCGGCTGTTGCTGGGGCAAGAAGGGAAGCGAGGAAGAGGGCACACGCGGGCAGCGCGACGAACCAATTTGTGTATTGATATCATGCTGACCTGTAAAGGTGTAAAAGATGACTTGGCTGAAAATGCCCAATTCAAACGCATCACATGAAAGAAAAAGGAGCAAAATGAAAGGAGAACCAGAGTGGTGAGTATAAAAACAAGAGGCTGAAGTTTACAAAGCTCACCACTGAATAATCCACTGTACAGGGACTTGAATGTGGCGTGTAAAGGTGCTAAATACACGGGGATGTGGACTCACATCAGCACCCCGTCATGGTGCTGTGCAGAGGGCAGGAGAGGCACCTACAGGGTCGACTGCAGGCAGAGGCCACGGGATTCACAGGCACTGGCTTTATTATGCTACCTGACACATGAACACACATGCACATAGAAAGCAATGCAAGGAAGATGAAAGAAGAGATGCTGTACAGTTTCACAGATCCAGTGGCCACACGAGGAGACAACCAATCGCTGCTGGCAAAGGTCCTTGGACAAACCCTAGCCAGGCACCTCCAACCCTCTCCTCTGCCAGGCCTTAACCTCGGCTCTCTCCTGCCCTCTGCCTACCTAACCCGTCTCTACCAAGAATCCTGCTAAGTCCATTTAGGGAGAATCCCCCAGCTGCCACATCCAATCGAAGTCCTCACATCCCCCTTGACATCAGTCTGTTCTCTTGTGTGGGCTTAGCATAGTGGGTTTCACTCTGCTGCGGAGCCTCCAAGGGCGCCCCTGGAAGACACTTGAGTGACAGCTGTGAAGACATCTAGGAGAAGGGGAGGCTGGAAGGCAGGGCTGCCCGGAAACACCATCGCAGGTCCATGATAGTCCACTCCTGGCAGGAGAGGGAGAGTGGCCCCAGCTCACACCCTAAACAAGAGCGTGCAGGGCCTGGGGCACACAGGCACACATCCTCCGCAACCTGACCATCCAGCGGGTTCAGCAACTCTGATGTTCCCTTAGTCATCTTTCACCCACACATACGCCTGCCCTGCTCCTGGGCTGTAAGCAACACTCCCCACGCCACCCTACCACTGCTGCCTGTGCTGTGCTGGGGCTGGTCCTTTAGCCCTTCCTGCTGCAAGAGTCCCGAATAGTCTTCCTGCCCCTCCCGGCAGTGTCAGAACCATTTCTTCTTTAACACCGCAGGGACCACGCCCTGTACCTGGGCCTGTCCCAAGGGTCTGTGAAGCACACACTGAGGCATGGAACTGTCCCAAGGGCAAACAGCTGGGGCTTCCCCATGAAACCCACACCAGAATTTAAGGAAGCTGGGCTAGGGTGGCTGGGGACACAGGCCAACGTGCAGCTTTCTGATGACTCCAGACATGGGCTGTTGAATCCAGCAGCCAATATCCACGTGGGACAATCTAATTACTGACAAATTAAATTGCATATTCTATTCCCTAGTCATCTAGCTCTACTCACTGCAGGTGGGGCCCTACAGGGTGAAGGCTTCAGCACTGGGCAGCAGCCCCAGCTGCTTCCTGAGGACAGTTTCCTGAACAGTGTGTACAAGCAGTGTCACCCCGTGAGGTGGTCACAGAGGAGGCACTATGTGGTCTGCAGCAGTGAGTCCACTTCACTGTATCTTCGTATGCTTCCAAATGGACAGTTGCGGGGCCTAAGACCCCCACGTCCAGCTAGACCAGTGCTGGGGACCCACCGGTATCCCCAGGAAGCACAGGCATGGGACAGAGGAAAAGTCCACAAATGATGAGGTATTTGTAGTGTGGTCTGCACAGGCAGGGAAAGTTGCCTCTGGACAAAGGCGCAGCAGAGCTGGGGAAGGGGGACAGGAGCACAGGGCTTGGGTTTACACTGCTGCTAGGCGGGCAGCAGGTTGTGCAGTTTGGATCTAAATGTCTCCCGAAGACGTCACGTATTTGGAAGTGGAGGGATCGTGGGGTGCTGTACTCTTAACTGGACCTGTCCACTGATGAGTCACAGCTGAACGTTCCGTTAGGAGGCACAGCCCGACTGTGTGGGGCACTGGGAGTGTGACCTGGGAGGGTGTGTTCGTCCCTGGCCCCTCCCTTCTCTCTCTCTTCCTGGCTACCCTGAATCGAGCAGCTGTGCTCTGCCATCCCTGTCCACCATGATGCGCCTGCCGTGGAGCCGGCCGGCCATGGGCCGAATCCTCTGCAAACAGTGAGCCAAAGCCAATACCTCCTTTAGGTTGTGGGTGCTGGGCACATTGCCCCAGTGATGGGGCAGTGACCGATACAGGGGCTCTAAGCAGGGACCACAGGACATTAGCTGCTCTCTTGCCCACCCACAGCACCTGCCTGTAAGCTCCCCCTATTCTGAGGCACAGGTTGAGGCACAGGGAATGCCACGGTGGGGCAGTTATGAAGCCTCTGGCACCTGGGAGGTTTGCACAAAGCTGGTGCCACCACAGACCCAAACACTCCCATACCTACACAGGCCTTGCTCCACACCCAGCCCATGCGCGGGACACGAGAAGGTGTCACCACCCACCCAGGCCCAGCCTCACCATGTACGTGGCGATCTCGTCAGGTGCGTCCCCATCCAAGTCAAACTTGAAGGTCACCATCTTGTGGTTATGTGTCTCTAGCTGGCACTCCACCATCTTGTCCCCTGTGTTGCACACCTACCGGAAGGGGACAGTCAGATCGCAGAGGACTCTGTACCCCTGTGCCCCAACCCTGGCAGCCACTCACATTTAGGATGGTGAGCCGGGGCCGGCTAGTCCTCTCCTGCCGGGAGCGGGCACGCGTGGATCTGCGGTGGTGTCTCCGGGCAGCCCTGCCTTCCAGCCTGCCGCCTCCAAAGGAACCTTCACAGCCATCACTCAGCTCTTTTCCAGAAGTGACATCGAAGCTAAGTGAAAACCAAGAATGTGAACAGCACCCAGAGATGACCAGCAAGTCTACTACAGACAGCCCCACCTGGGGCATTAAAGCCTCTGGGGCCTGAAGCCATGACCCACAAAGCCAGCCACCACCTGGGAGGGGACCCCCAGACTCCTTTTCTCCCCATAACACCTGCCCTAGCTGGCACAGGTGCTATGCACAAATGCAGGCTTTCCAGTTACTGGCTGTGTGACCTCAGCCCTCTCAGCCTCCTGACCTGTGACTTGGGTCTCATGTCTCAGTTTTCCCTGTGCAACAGCAACAGAACAAAGCAGCCACTCGGGGCTGCTGAGAGGACTGCAGCAGAGCCTGCAAAGTGTCCCAGTTTCCCGGAAGAGTAAAGAACCCATGGCCACTTCCTACAATCGCTTTGAGGACAGTGCCACCTCTCAGACCATCAGGAGGCAGCAGTCTGGAGCCTAGGTCTAGGCTGGACTTGGCTCTGCCCAAAGGGGTGCCAGCCCCTCCTGGCTCTAGGCAGAACTAAGTCTCTGCCACAGCTTCTCCCTTCTACAAAGTCCTAGGCACACAGAGCCAGAACACAGCCAGGCGGCTGCAACAGCCAGGGCTCAACCAAGGAGAGGGTCCCTGAGGCTATCCTGGTGAGGTCTGGAAAAGGCGGTGATATCTGTTAAAAGCCTGAGGGCATCCAGGCAAGTGGGCAGGATCTGAGCGAAGCGCAGCAGGGGCTAGGCCCAGGCTTGTGCCTCCCACCCGCACCCCAAGGTCACAGCTGGGCCAGTACCTCTCACAGCTCTGCGGGAGGCCGGGAGGCTTGTCCTGGGAGGCTTGCTCCTAAAATAAAATCCAGAGTAAAGAGGACGATCACATGGCTCCCACCTCCCTCAGCACAGCAGAGGGTACACCTGTCTTCCCTTGCCACCTCCGTGGTCGCTCTCTTCTGGCTACAGCCAGGGGGGCACCACACACTGAGGCTTTCATTTTGTTCAAAGGCTTAGAGTCAAGCAGATTTCTAAAGCTTAGGGTTGCTTCCTTTCCAAAACTATTAACCCACTTTGATCATCCCTAAAAAAGGACCCATGGGTTTTGTGAAAAAAGGTTTTCATAGGCGTTTGCTTCCTCTCCAAGGGAAAGCATCCTCCAAAGCCATTTATAAAACTCTTGCTCTCCATCTTGCTGTGGGCTTAGAGTAAAAGGAAGCACAACAGATAACAGGACTGTATGGCTGTTCTGGAGCACAAGCCACTTCTTGGGAGCCTCCTGACCTCTAGAGCTGAGACCCCAGGTCAGAGTGCAGACCAGGAATGGCCATGAGCAAGGGACAAGGACACACACCTCTTGGGCAGGTTCCACCATCAGCTGGACAGCTGGGCAGGGGCCAGGAATCAGGGGCCCAGCAGGCAGGGGTGGGTTTGCTGGTGGCAGGAGTGTGCTGGTCTGGGTGGGCACACTCTGAGGGGCTGCCACCACTGCAGGGGCTAGGGAGCTGGGGAACTTAGGCAGCAGCTCAGGGGCAGCAGGCGGCAGCACGTCTGGCAGAGGTGGGGAGAGGACAGCAGGCGGCAGGGGCACCGCGGGGACTGGAGCAGCAACATCCATGGTGTATGAAGGCAGATGGCCTAGCAGGACCTGGGGGCACAAGGGACAGGGATGCAGGTTGGACATTGGAGGGCAGAAGACAACACCTGCACCGAGAGGGGCTGAGGCCAGGCACATCAGTGAGTACATGGGGTTGGGGAGCCATGGCAACATCCCTCACCAATCCGTGTGCTCCCCCAGGCCATGCCTGGCACATGGATGTAACCAAAGCAAACAGGGTGATCCCTTTCCTTTTGGCTTAAGGGATCTGTGTAGAATCCCCAGACCAGAACTGCACAAGAACTAAGCCCAGGTGAAGAGTCAGAAGGTAATAAACACTGCCCCCAACCCCAGGGGTCTTCCACATCCTGTCCCTGGCCAGCCTCCTGGGCAGTTCCCAGCACATGATGGCTGTCCCTGGTCCTGACAGAACCTAAGAGTACTTGCTGACATCTGCCTCCCCCTCCACAGTGGCCTGGAGCTCAAGCTGGGACCCCATTGTGCTAGGCTCTCAGAAAGCATTACAAGGGTGAAGAGAAGATGAGCAAGGAAGGGTCCATGGGTTTTACACCAGGACAATCATCCTCTGTCCACTTGGGGCTAAGAAGATTGAAAATTCAGATCGAGAGGCCTGAGCCTCCAAAGCTGGGGCCATGTCCCAGCCAAAGAGCTGTCAGAGGAGAGCAAGGCTGGAGATGCCTCTGTAGGGAAGCCTGGGTGGGAGGTGCCCAGGTGGGAGCCATGCAGGTGGGGATTTCCATGTAAAGGTGACAGGAGAGGAGGGTTCCCAGGCAGGGGGTACCCACATCTGCTCTTCCCCTCACTCAGATGTGAACAGAAGACCCTGAACCCAAGAGGCCTCCCACAGCAGGACTGCGTCCCTGGTCTCCACAGGGTCCCCTTGTGGTCTGGCTGCTCAGTGTGCACACAAGGACAGCCCCCAGGCCCCATAACGACTTCCTTCAGCTGGCAGCCCCACTTTACCCCATGTTAAAATGCGATGTTAGTTCGGCCTCACTCTAACAACACGCACTGGGAGGACCCAGGCCAGGCCCAGGCCACAGGAGCAGCAGCTCCTCTGACCACTGAGGGGGCAGCAGATGCTCCATGCTGGCTGCAGCCTCAGCTCTCAGCCTCCAATCATCTCTTCACAAGCCGAGACAGCACAGGGCAGAGCGGACCCTCAACCAGCTCCAAACTGCCACTCAGTCCAGGAGCCAAGGAGGAGCCCAGGTGTAGTGAGAGGAGCAACCTGGGAGTCCCTGGACCCTGGTCCCGTGGGTCTCCAGGCACCAGAGGCAGATCCAGGTGCAGACGGCAGCTTACCTGGCTCCTTGTGGTGGCAGCAGCTGGAGCCGGTTGCTCAGGCAAGTGGGTAACACTGGGCAGGAGGGGCTGGGGTGTGGGTGTGGGCACAGGTGGAACTGTGGCTACAGGTGGCATCGTGGGCATGGTCGGCACTGTGGGCACAGGTGGTACTGTGGGAATAGGTGGTACTGGCTGTGGAGGGGTGGCCCGTAAGCTCTGCACTGTGTGGTGGGGGGAAGGCAGGATGTCCCCAGGTGCCATCTGTGGGAAGGCCGCTGAGTATACTGGCTGTGCTGGGAGCTGGGCCGGGAGCTGGGCTGGGAGCTGGGCAGGGAGCTGGGCCGGGAGCTGGGCTGGAAGCTGGGCCACCCCAGGATGGATGGACAGGGCAGCCATGCCCTGTGGGGCCACGGCCAGCAGAGGGATGGTGGCTGGTGCATTTGGCACAATGGTCTGGCAGGGCATGGACAGGGGTGCTCCGGTGGGATGGGGCAGTTTGACTGCTTGCAGAGGCAGGGCAGGGGATGCAGGCAGGGGGGTGGTGAGGCTTGGCAAGATCACAGTGGGAGAGAAATACTGAGGTGGCGGCACAGGGGCCACATTTGCAGCTGGCAGGTCAGTAAGGGCAGCAGGGAGGCCATCAAGTGCTCCCAGCGGCGTGATGGGAGGAACCACCGGCATCGTGGGCATCTGAAAGAGACAGCAGCATGTCAGCGGTGGCGGCTGCAGCCCCACCCAGGGCCTCTGCACTGTCAGCAAGACACAGATGAGGGCAGCATGGCTTGGCCTCCCAGAAGCTTTTGTGCAGCCGCTGTTGCAGAGATCCCAGACACAAACCCAACATAAAGGGAAAGGTCAAGCGCGAGAAACTCCAAATAGAAAAGGAAACTGGCAGCTGGGACACAACCTGCCAGACAAACCCCTGGGCACAGCACAGAGGAGCCTCTCACTGTGTCAGCACCCTAATGGGCCCGTGGGGGAGGGGCTCTGAAGGAACCAGCCAAGTGGCCACAGTGCTCTGAGCTCAGCAGCCTTTTTCTTCCCAAGGGCCAGGACTATGAGAGCCAGAGACAGGTCCCAAACCTCTGAAATCACATCAGCCTGATGCCCTAATTTGTGTAAATTCCAGCCCAAACCTAACTCCTTTCATGGTTCTCTGTAGTGCGTGTCCTTAAGCCTCCCCCTGGTGGCTGTGGTGACACCTCCATTGCAAGTCACCTCCCAATAGCCAAACTCCTGCACTTCCCCTCTATCTTCTCAGCGGCCCATGCACCTCCTGGAATTAGCTCTTCAACCTCTGACAGCTTTCTCATAGGTATCATAACGCACACCTCTGTGCAAGTTCACAGACACATGCACCAACTGCTCCCTATTTGACACGTAAAGTACCAAACCACTGACAGGGATGAGGATGGTTAACTAGCCAATTCTGAAGTGATATACAAAGATGACTCCTGGTCAGCAGGTGATGGCTGCCATAAAAACAAGCAAACCTTCCAGGAGGGGCACACAAATTGCAAGAATACCCAATTACAGTGTGGGAACCATGGTCTGCAGAATAAAGCCCACTTCCTGTCCTCTCACTAATATCACAGGCCATTCCCATCACTGGGGCCTGAGAATAGCTATGATCCTAGACGCCATCAGCCTGGGCAACGGTGACCAGCCCTGAGTATTTTCTGCACAGTCATGCTGCTAGGTATCCCCAGTAATGGACAACGTCCCAAAGAAAGTCGCCGAGGTTATTCTGCTGTTCAAATCGAGCCTTGGTGGCCAGCCTCCTCTGCAGCTTGCAGTGTCACCCAGCTGGCTATCAGACCTTCTGCTCAGCCTTGGGTAACTCCAAAGGATGAAACTGAAGTAAGTCTGTCCACTTTTAAACCCCACTCGGTGGCCACAATATGAACCCTGTCCTTGACCTTCGACTAAACCTTTTCTCCATCCTGAACACTGAGGACTGGATGTGCCCTGGGTGACAGCCACTGTCTCTCCTGAGGGACCACACACTTTCCACTCTCATCCCAGAGGCAGAACAGCCTGGGCAGAAGGCCCGCTGTGGTGGGGGAAAAGGCCAGAAGACTTAAGAGGGCAGCCCAGCTGGCAAAGGACCAGATCGGTCCTGGAGCAAGTGGCACGCACAGACCCTGTGCTGCTGAGCCCACTTCTCAGGCCCACACAGACAGGTCCTAGAGGTGCCCTGGTACCCCAACCAGGGGGGGCAGACCACCAGTCCCTGCCCCACCAGTCAGCCCAGAGGTACCTGCGGAGGGACTTGAGCAAGCGGCTGCAGGGGTGGTTGCGGCATCTGGAGGGGCTTCAGCTGAGTAGAGGCCACCACCTGGGAGGCTGGGGCCAGGTATGGAGGCAGGTGGGGGGCCACTGGCTGGACAGTGCCCAAGGGCTGTGGGGCCAGGACCTGTGGCAGGGCTGGCGGCTGGGCCATTGGAGGAGGCTACAGGAGAGAAAGGGACCTCAACCACAGTCCTGCTGAGGCAGGGTGAATCTGTACACAGACAACAGAAATGCACTCACAAGCTCATATTTGTACTCGCTTGCACAAATCTACATATACATATACACACTCTGTCTCTGAGGCACACACTTCAACATGTGTGCATGTGCACTTGCATGATTGCGTACTTTCACACACAACACTCACGTGTACACATTGACAATACACTCAAGTATATACACATACACCACTCATACAAACACACAGACCGCCAGACTCCAGCCAGCCAGGTCCAGGGCCACGGCAGAGCCTACAGAAATATCCTATGTGGAGCCTTCTGTGACAGGCCCCATATTATAAACTGTGGACCCAGAAACAACCCCTCCCCACCACCACCACACACTTCCCTGCCCCCTGTGTAACCCCAGGCCCTGAGAACCACACAGTCCAAGTGAAGGGGCCTAGAGGCCCTAAGCAGGGCCCAGCACAGGCACCCACAGACCCCAGCCTAGAGCTCCCAGAGCTGCTCAACTGACACAAGAGGCAATTCAAGGGGTTCTGAGGAGGGAGGCACCACACTTACCTGCTGGGCAAGGGGCGCTTGATGGCCAGGGCCTGCGGGCACAGGGGCACTGGGAGGTGGCAGCACAGGGGCAAAACTCATTGTAGGCTCCGGGAAATGCTGCTGGAGGAGTGGAGGGCGAGTAGGGGCTGGGACGGAGCCCATGGACAGGCTGGGCTGCAGAGAGTACCCAGGCCACATTTAGAGACTTCCCTCAGCCCTCTTACCCCCTTGCCAGCCCCCTACTAGGGAACCTGGACCCAGTAAGATGACGCAGCAGAAGCCAGCTATGGCAGCCCTTTGGCATTATCCCTCATACTGGAAAGCCGCAGACCGCCACGGTGCCCAACCAGGGAATATTCTGGAACATTAGCCCCACGGAGCATTATGTAACCAGGGGAACAGATCATCAGAGGCTTTGCAGAACTGTGGAGAAGGGCACCTTAAGAGCCGGCTGCAGGAAGCTATCATCTGAGTGACTCGGGCTACCTAAGATGAATTCATGCAGATAATTCATAGAACATGGTAAAATGAATGCAAATAACACACGGCATGTGGGGAAGGTGCCAGACACCATGGTCACAGGTACTAAAACTGTCACAGCAGGGCCCGGGCAAAGCAGGATCCTCTGAGGTCCAGCCACAAGGTGGGAGAGCCATGGAGCTGCAGACAGGATGTCAGCCTGCCGGGCCAGGATCTGCCTAGTGGGTGGCAAAAGAGCAGATGCTGGATGCTGTTGAGGAACTGTGCTAAGGTCATAAATTTTTGGCCTAATCATATCAGTGCATTTTGTTTTCTAAGAGCCTTCTTGTGCAGAGATGGAGAACTGGGATGCTTATGGGGAAATATCTTGCCACCTAGGATTTACTTCCCAACAATGGGCCATGTGAAGCCAGTAGAAGCTACCAAGCAACACATCTGAACACAAGTCCACAAGGTCTCTGAGGTGAGGCTCCGAGGTCCTCTACACGCAATATCCTCTCTGGGTCTCTGGATGGCACAAGGACACTCATGTCAGGGCTTTATGCAAGGTGCTGGGTGACAGGGAGGGGGGGTGTAGAAAGAACAAGCATGTTGGGATCAAGCCTCTGTCTGGCATGAATTTACCTAAAGCCCTGGAGCTCATGTGTTGGCCCGGCTCCTGGTACCACGCGTAGTCTGGAGCCCAGGAGGCTCTGCTGTTTTTTACTGGGCCCCAGGCTTGCATCTCTTCAGCAACCCTCCCAGGAAGGGCCAGGAGGGTGGGACAAGCCTGCAGCACACCCTCAGGACCCCTCCAGGCCCCATCCTTTCTGTTTAAGGTATCAATACAGGAGAAGGAGCTTTGGCCCCAACCCACATCTGTGACCTTCCAATTCAGGTTTCCTGGCATGTATGCTGACAGCAAAGTCAGCTGTGTCAACAAACACAAAACAGATCCAGCCCAGCGGGGACCCAGGCAGGGACCCCTCTGGCCATAGGGGTACAGCATTCTGGCCCAGACACAACTCAGGCAACCCTCACAAGAATAGCACTCTTGAGCAGCAAGTGACCTTCCACTAAGTGGGCCGTTTCTGCCATTTAAAATCATATTTCACTTCATTTTTTTAATGAACAAAATCGCAAGTGCAGATTGCTGGTGGATCTTGCAATGCCATACACAGCTACAGACTTCACCTACTTTGCCAAAGGGACTCTCTGAACCCTTTCCACAGCCCAGCCCTGTGTGCACAGAAGAGGAGAGCTTGCAGCAGGGGAGAGAGCCATGGCAGCCAAAGAGTGACAGTAAGAACCGGGACTACTGATGCACCAGGCCCAGGCTCACAGGGAGAAGACAGAAGACTTGGCTCTACCATCAGGCTCACAGGCAAATTCTCCACAGCTGAGCACTTGGGTCTGTGATGCAAGCAAATGTTTTGCTTTTTCAGTGTTAAAAGTCAAAATCAAAAAAGAAAGTGTGACACCTTCAGCTTTCCCAGATCTGCCACACTGCTTCTGGGGCATCCCCACCTGCCTTCTCCAGATATACTGGAAATGCCCCCACGCTTCAAATTCATCCACAGCTCAAACTTCCACCAGCTGCTATGACCTGGGGGAGCGCCACCAGGCACTACCAGACATGCCCTCACGAGGCTGGTGGTGGGGTCCAATCCAGGGCTACAACATTATACGTGATACATTTCCATGATCTTGGGCTAGTCTCAGAAAGTGTCACAGGTCCAAGCCCAGGCCAGGTAGCTGTGTGCTGTCATCAGCAGCAGCAGCACCTTCTAGTTGGCTCCATCACAGCCCCCAAGCCGTGGATGCTCCTGGAGTCTGCTTCCTAGCAATGTGTACCTCAGAGCTGGGGCTTTCCATGGGGCTGTCTGTGGGTTGAGCCCCAGGAAGTGTGGCCGAGAGCTATTCACAAGCTACCTTAACCCTGACCACATGCAGCACAACTTCAACAGCCCTCACAGACTGAATCCCAGGCCCTCCAACAAGGAGGCCGAGAAGACAGAGCAGGGCGGTTCTCAGACTCACCGCGGCAGCAGGCTGCTGGAAGGCCCCCAGTGAGGGCAGGCTGTGCACCAGTCCGGGCCCCTCGCTCACTGGAGGGCTGCACACACATGGCGCCAGGGATGGAGCTGCATCCACAAGGGAACCAAGGACCATGCTTTGCTGGCTGCTCTGTGAGTCTGAGTACACCGTGGAGCCTTGGCCACTGTCCAACGTGCTGTCCGCTGGAGAGAACAAATGTAGAACTTAGCAGGAACACCTCCGAATGCTACCCCCCATGGTACTGCAGTCAAGCACCTGTGGCCTGTCTGTATAGTCCTTTCTGCAAAACAAACACTGCAATGTTTCCAAAGATTATATAAACAATGTATGAGTGCTGATTAAATAATAATGAATGCATGGGGGAGCTGTCCCTGGGTCCCCATGCTGACAGGGCCTGACCTCAGGGTGGCTCGGGTGCCAGGGTAGGCTTGCCTCAAAGATCTTGCTGCGAAGCAGACACCAGATCCCCCACTCCACTCCCAGCTCACATATGCAGACAGAGCAGACTTTGATGGCAAGCACTTGTTCCAGCCCATAAAAGCACAGGAGTTTATGGAGCTGAGGTAATGTCACAGTTAGGAAAAGGTTAATGTTATAATTGTGGAAGAAATCTTTATTGCCAGGTTTTTGTTTTGTTTCTTGCAGCACTGGAAATGGAACCGAACACCTTTGCACTGAGCTACAACCCCAACCCTCTTTATTTCTTATTTTAAGACATGGTCATAGTAAGTTGCCCAAGCAGGATTTAAACTTGTAGTCCTCCTGCCTCAGCTTCCCTCAGTGCTGGAACTACAAGTGTGTACAACCACACCTCGCTCTATCACCATGTTTCATAAAGGGAGGCCTCCGGATTTTTTGTACTTTCACATTCACGGCAAAGGAGAATCCGGTCACAGACCACACAGGAGGCAGGGGCAATATTGAGTACACACAGCCCCAAACAGGCTCCCACAGGCTCTTCATACATAGGTCAGGCTGGCACGGATGGAATCCCTGTGCATGAGGGGTGCAGACAAGAATCCCAGAGCCCACGAGCCCCTCTCACCAAGATGTGCCTGGAAGACAGCTTGCCAGTGTGGTGATGCCAGTGAGAAGTGAAAACCCAACACCTGTCTGAAATGGCACTTTGAGTCACTGCTTCCAGATTTCAAAAGCCACAGAAACATTAGGATTTACCACCTATAGATACAGACACCAAGCTGCTTTCACAAGAGGCCATGTCTCAGAATGAGTACTGCACCCACTGGTAATTCTGACAAATTAAAGGGGAAAAAAAAGTGAAAGGGAAGTCTTATTGGCTTTGAATTAAAACAATTTTTCCAAGGGACTGATGAGAATTCATTTTAACCTAGAAGACATATGATTGCTGAAGTTTAATTGGGCAAAACCAATTAGACAAGAAGCTCTGATTTTTAATGAGCCAACTGGTCAGTTCCACTTAGGAAGAGGGATAATGAGGGAGGGAGCACATGCACATAGCATCTCCAACCATGTGTGCAACATTTTACATTTTGGAACTGATATGTTTATTACTTGTTAAACTGAAAATTAATTTTATAGATCATTTTGGAACCCAGTGAAAAACTATGTTGTTGCAGCCTCATTTGCTTAAGTAGCAAGGAAGCAGAACCTGATCAGGATTGCTGGGGTTGGCTAATAGAAGACAACAGAGGACCATGAAAACTGATCTGTTGCTTTATCTTTCAAGGTGCACGTGTGCATCTGTCTGTGACATGCAGGACCGGCTCCAATGTGTGTGCTGCCTGGCATCTCCATCAGCTCACCATGAGCACAACATGGCTGGCCATCGGGGACACTGCAGCCAGAGGGCAGATGAAGAGAAGATGGCCCAGAGGTGTATCCATTGCAGAACAGAGAAGGGCACGGGGATGTGTCTGCAGTCTGTGCGTACGTGAGCATGTGTGCACACCTACATGGGTCTGAAGGCATGGTGAGTATACATTTGTATCTGTGTGTGCATACCTGTACTGGTGTGCAGGTATGGGCCATGCACGTCTGTGTGTGTACGCACATGTATTTGTATGTCCACATGTGCACGGTAGAGCGCTTGGGTAGATTATCTATGGAAGGAGAGTTCGCAAACTTGTTGCAGGCCTTGCCTCTGGAAGGACGACTTGCTATACAGCCATTAGGCATTTTGAATCCTACATCCTATCACCTATTTTGAGAAGTGTGGCCATGACCTCTGCCCATATGACACAAGTGTCTAGGACCGATGAAAATTGGGCTGTTCTGTTCTCAGAGCTCACTCACACCTGACGTGCACTCACTGGCCATCTGATTTCTCAGAGTATGTTAAACCTGACCTACAACATCTGTGTGTAAGAAAAAATATACTTCTAACTCCTTAACTGGGTCTCTTCCAAGTGCAATAAACAGAGATCATTTATTTCCCATCCTAAAAATTATCAAATCAATAATTACAACTTTAAAGTACATGCTAGTGTGTCAGATAGAGAATCTTCCCCACCAAAACAAAGAAGTTCTCTGATTAATTTTTTTAGGTTTCTCAGAAAATGGAGCAATGATGTAGCAATATTCTTTTCCAAAGCAAACCTGAGCAGGTTGGAATGAAGTAAACAGCAGGCTAAGTCTCTTAAATAAATCAAGGCTACTTGTTGGAATATAAACACCTACTATGAAGAAACTTTAGCTATTTCAATGATGAGAGAGATATATATTAAATAAATTATCAGGGTTCCAATCTTTCCACATGTAAAACCTATAATAGTGGCCCAGGCAGGTCACTGGGCTCTGTAATTCTCCAGGCTGATTCACAGAGTGGACAAAGCCACACTCCTTGTGCTTAGCTCATAGCTGAACTTTCAGACATTGAGGGCCAACATGGGACACTTTTCAGCCTACGCTGCAGAAGAAGCCAGATCCTCTCACATGTTCTTAGATGAAACCTGCTTTGAAGTGACTCCAACTCCCTGGCATTACCTTGAAAGATGAGCAAAAAGGCTCAGAGGCTTTGCCACTGGAAGGAAGATGATAAAGGAAGTGGATCCCAGGGTGAGCACTCTAGGCCAAGACACACCATGCCTGTCCGTGGCACACGCATCCCCTCCACAGAGCAGATGGTGGCACCTCACCTGGTTTCCATGCCCTCTATGAGGCTGGGACTGTATGTCTCCACAGACAGAACAAGGAGGCTGCTCAAGCCCACAGATTCACAGTGTGGGGTGGGAACTAAACTAGCTCTGTCCAGCTTTACTGGCTCTTGGTACTTTTGACTCCATCTGACCTAAGAAGCTGGGCTCCAGTAAGTCTTAAGCCCTCTGGTCAGAGGCCTCTGGAGAATGCAGGGAAAACCCTAACCTCTTCCTCTTCCCCGGAACAACACTCACCTGCCTCCACTATCCATACTCCAGAGTATGGACTGTGAGACAGGCCCCAGACTGGCCAAGGAATCAGGACCCAAGTGTCCCAGTATCTATCGGCCATCTGGTGGCCCCATAACCCCAGGATCTGCCTTCTTCCAAATATGGTGATATGCCCTAGTGTCAGAGGTGGTGGCAGAAAGTACACCTAGTAGGGGGCACAGAGCCAAACCAGAGCTTCTGGGCATCACCTACAGGTGAAAGCAGTAACCTCGTGTGTGAGGTCAGCTCAGAGCTCATGACACCACACTGCAAGCTGCCACAGGGTCGACATGGCCCTCCTCACAAAATATTCTAATAAAGGGGAAGTGTTTTTCTTTCCCCTACAGATGGTTTCACTGGGGACAGGAGGAGCAGGGACACAGCAGGTCGAAGTGATCCTACTCCATGTACTCACAGGCCAGGGAGGTGGCACTGGTTGGCAGCGTCAGGGGGAGGAGGTGCTGGTCAGCCTCTGGTTCCTCAGGCTCGGGTGGCCCAGCCTGCCCAGCCTGCCCATGATAGGTCACCTGGACCTGCAGGGGTGCAGACGGACCCCTGGCCTTGTCAGGGCTGCCTGAGTCCCTTGACTCCTGGGACTGTAGTGCGGGCCCGATCCTCTCCCGCCGCCACTGGATCAATGCCACACGGTCGCGAATGGACTTGGCCACAATCTTCACGTCATTTTCATGAAAGAATCCAGAGTCGATCTGCAAAAGCAGTCACATCGTAAGAGTCTAAGGACCAAGGGCTGGGGATTTAGTTCAGTGGCACCGTACCTACCTCACAAGCACAAGGTCCTGAGTTCGATCCCCAATACCAAAAGCCAAATAAATAGTGCCCAGGAACCAGATGTTTCCACACACATTCCACCATCAGAACTACTGCCACTATCTGTGCTGCGGGCACAGAAGAGATTTGGGGTTCTCTCCTCAGGAGTGGTTTCTCTCATCATCCCAGAAGTAATCACCCCTGAAATCCACAGGCAGCTGGTGCACAGCAAGTGCTCCATGACCTCCCAGTCCCCGCCCTGCCCTCTACACAGACGAAGGAAGCCATTCTGTCTGGGGGCAGTACGTGTGCACTGTTGCCTGGCAAAACCCTAAGACCCATTCACCACACTGAGAGTCTGAGAACACTTGCCAAGGAGCCTGGAGATCTCCTGGAAGCCTTATGAGCTCGCTGAAAATACTCATGGAAAGACCACATTCTGCAGACAGACCCCTTCTGACGGGCTGCTCTGGCTGGATTGCCGGTGGTAACCCATGACCACCAACTCATGAAAGCTCATCAGTAGCGGGACCTCAAATCCCTTGTTCAGCAGTTCAGTCCTGAAGATACACGGCAGCACTGGGTGGGGTGAGTACAGCCCGTAAGGGAGGGGGTGGGTGGTTCCAGGCAGGAATTGACTGGGGCACCTCACAGGTAAGCACATGACCATGCAGGGTTGTCCAGACAAGAACACACATGAGGAACACAGGTTGTCAGGCCCCTTGCGTATGGAAAGCAGGGAACCAGAACAAGGACCTGTGGTGTTGGGAGGGGACCAGAACTGACAGTGAGAAGCTGCAGAACTAACATATAGACATGCAGAATTTGTGTGTGTAGCCACACACATCCTCGTGAGCTCTGTCCACCCAAAGGCCTAGAGCACAACATTCACAGCCCTATGAGGCTCAGTGGTTGGGGTGTAGGGAGGGAGGCTCAGTGGTTGGGGTGTAGGGAGGGAGGGCAGGAAAACTGTGAGGATAAGCTCAGGGAATGCCAGGGCCGGGCAAAGGGACACAAGAGCCAGCACGAGGGCCACCTCCTAGCAAATATGGGCCACTTGAGCATCAAAATGAGCAGTAAAACAATGAAAGGTGATGGTGCCCCAAACCCAACCACATGTTCTACAGGCATGTATTAGAGAGCAGAGGTACAAGTTGTCTGTGGGCAGAAGGCCAGAGGGGTTTCCAGGGGGTACTGGCTGCCTCTTGCTCTATCTCTCTATGCTTCTCTGTAATTCTAAATTTCAGGTCCTTCCTCTTTTTCTGTCATTCTCCCTGTGTCTCTTTTTCTCTGTCCTCTGAGTCTTTCTATCTGTCTCCCTCCCTGCCTCCCTTGCCCTGGGCATCATCTGCTCCTGAAGACCTGTCACGAAATGCCATCTGCAGAGGTCCGCCTGACAGAGGCCTGGGTCTCCTGCTCCAGGAGCCAGGAGATCTGAGCCTGCAGCCCTGGCCGATGCCTGACTGTACCTCACACCTTGAGTTTCCCCTCACCTCTGACCTTGGAGACTTTGCAGGCCAGAGCCTAGTTTAGGGGCAACTTGATACAAAACGCAGTAGACAGCTCCTCCATGAGGAGAACCTCCTGAATAAAATAAAACAGTGCATCCACAGAGAACTAGAAAAGAGTGGGAAGTGTGAGGGAGACAGGAAAAAGGAAGTGTGAGCAAACAGGTTAAAGCCCCCTCTGTAAGACACACCTCTGTACAGGAGGAGAGAATGACCCCACATGGACAAGCCACAGATGTCCCTGCTCCAAGCCCTTACAGATAGCCTCACCTGAAATGGTACATGAGAGCTAGGTCTGGAACCATGCACCACCAGGCAGCCACCAGTTCCTGCAGACGCCCCACAGCCTGAGACTGACCCATCTAGTGAGACAATGAGCCATGACCAAGGGCCAGACCGTAAGAGTTGCAGGACTGACGGCCTCCAGGAGCACATGACACTGGCCCAGGATTCTTGTTGTGGCAGTGTTGCTGGGAAACAGAAGACCTGAGTAGCCTGAGGACGAACAGTGGTGACGTGTCAATGCCACTTCTGATACTATCTGCTCTGTGGAGTTGTACAGGGAAATGTCTCATTTTGTAGGAGTAGAGATGAAATTATCAGGGGTAGTGGTCATCAAGCTCGTAACTTCTTTTCTTTTTTGAGACAGGGTCTTCCTATGCAGTTCAAGCTGGCCTTGAACTCACTGTGTAGCCCAGGTTGACCTCAAACTTGCAGAGATTCTCCTGCCTCAGCTTCCCAAGTGCTGGGATTACAGGCATGCACCACCACACCCCACAGCAACTTATTTTCAAATGGTACATGGGAAAACAGTTCTCTGTTAGTACCCTGGTAACTTTTTAGTGACTTTGTGATGATTTCAAAATCATTTATTTGGGGCCAGGTGTGGTAGCGCATGCCTGTAACTTCAGCACTCTGGGAGGCTAAGGCAGTAGGACTGCAAGCTCAAGCCCAGTCTGCATAGTCAGCAACTTAGTAAGATCCTGTCTCAAAATAAAAAATAAAAAATGGCTGAGGATATAGTTTAGTGAGAAGGCCATGGATTCAATCCCTAGTACAGGAAAAAAATTTATTTTGAATGACAATTCTACTCAACAGAATGAAGGCAGAAGTAGGTATAGTCTGCCACCTGATTGGGGCCGGGGATTTGGCTCAGTGGTTCTGCTGCCGCTTCGCCCCAAGGGCCTGAGTTCTATCCCTGGTACCAAAACCAAACAAACAAACAAACAAAAAAGAAAGCTCCCAGCACAGGTTGAGCTCCCATCCCAGAAGAACCAGGCTCAGATCTTCTGCCTTAAAGCTGAGTGCTCCAGGCTCCAGCCATTGGGGCCTTTATGGAGAGGCTAGGAAGACCAGGACTGGCTGGCTGATGCTGGTTTGGGGCTGGAGTGGGTAGCTCTCTTGCTTATACCTGGGGGCAGGTGTACAAAGGGAACCAGAGCCCAGGACTACAGCCGTCCCTAAGACCCCAGGTGACTTTAGGTTACACCAAGACTGATGGCCTCATGCCTCCAGGTTTGCTTCTATTTTCTGCCACCCCTTAGTGCTAATGGTCCTTTCTTCTCTGTCTTCACAGTCTCCCCCGACTTCCTCACCAAGGCATTTCTATTTTTCTCCCCAACAGGTAAGAATGCAGCTGCATTCTATTCTATACCACCCCAGCAGGTCACATTACCTGGAGTTCTGAAGTGAAAGGAAGAGCTAAACTGAGAATCCCACTGTGGGGGACAAATCAAAGGCCTCACTCTCTGCCTTGCTGATCGGATCCCACCCAAGTGCCCATCTATGTCCCCATCCTCCTCGAGGGGCCATCTGGACTCCAGAGCATCTCTGACACTGTGCACCTCGGCTTTTAAGGCAGCCCCAGGTCTCAGGGTCTCCCTGGACTCATGCTGTAGCACCCTATGGCCAGGCCCCCTCTAGCCTGGGTCAGGAAAGACTGGTGGCAGACCCCCCCCCAGCAATGGCCCTGAGCCAGTCTCCAACAGATGTGGAGGAGGAGGCTAAGGCTGGAACCTGGACAGGCTTCCTGGGGCCCAATGAGGGCAGGACAGAGCTGTAAACAAGTCAGCTCCTATGGAGCTGGTCCTAGAATAGAGCCTCATGGCTTTCAGCAGGTTGTGGGCTGGGCCTGTTTTCTTTCCTCAGCAGAGTGGAGACGCACACTACTTCACTATGGCTCTGTATCTGGACTCAAGTCAGGTCCCTTCTGCACAGATGCTGTTTCATGGTGGCATGTCTTGCAATGAAAATCAGGGTAAGGGATGGATGGCATAGGAAGGGGAGGTAAGTAAACGGGAGGAGAGAGGAGAGGGGTGCCAGGACCGGGAGCCTCCCTGGAACTGAGCCAGGGACACAATCTGTGAGGTCAGCCAAGTGCCAGGGACTGGTTGAGGGGACAGCCACATCCATAATGTCCCTGTCCAATGGGGGGCCATCCTGAACTGATGTCAAGCAGGTATGAGGCGGACTGTTGAGAGGTTCCTGCCCTGAAAGCAGCTGAGCAGAGCCCAGGGCACCTCTGGGTTTCAGAGCCCAGAGCACCTCTGGGTTTGGGGCATGGCTGTCTTCAAGGGAACCAAGCCAGGCTGAGGTCTGGCTGAAGCCCAGACATTCAGAATCCATTTGTCTGAGATCCTGGGCACTTTCCAAGATGCAACACCCACACTGGGATGGCATCTTGTCATGTCCTAGCTGTCCTGCAGCTCCAGACCTCCTGGCTCAGCTCCCAAATCCCTCACACCCTGAGGGGCACCAGGCAGGCACAACCACATTTGCGGAAGGAGCAAGAGAACCTCATTTCACCTGATCCTCCTATGGGTGCTCCACCACACCAAAACCAGGATGCTTCCTACGAGGCCACAACCAGTGTGGTGCCCATGGGACCTCTGCATCTCCACATGCATGTGAGACTTCGCCCATCTCCCTGAGACACTGCCTCCCCTCTGGTCATCCCTGGTGCAGCACCAATGGCCAGCACAGAATCCTAGAAGGACTCTCTCAGCACAGATGTAGCACCAAACCTCAGGTCCCACGCACCCACAGCCAGCACCCCCTTCACATTTCATTTTCTCTGCAATAAGAAGTATGGGGCTCAACTGTCACATCACCAAATAGAAATGGTACTTATGATGCCAAGAGACAAGCTGGTGACCATCTGCATAAAGCGTGTGGTAAATGTGCATGTATACCCCATTCCGCCACTAGGACCCACAGAAAGCCCTCCAGGAAGCACAGTCTGGCCTCACAACAGAGACCTGCTCTCAGCAGAAGTTTCTGTGTCCGGGCTGGGAATGTGACCAGTGGGGGGAAGACTGACTCAGAAACCTTGCAGCCTCCCGGGGTGACAGTGCAGCTGGCCCTGTAGAAGAGCTGGCCTGGGCTCCAGCCACCAGTGGCATGTCACACCTATCCTTTCCCTCATAGCGCCATCACAGCCTTGGACACGGGCCACTGTCCAGGGGAAGGCAGACCCCTAGCCAGGGCACCAACTAGCCCCCTTCCTGGGCTCCAAGGGCTTATATACCTTCCAGGATACAGTTGAGCCTGTTTCTCTACCTGAGCAGGGCCTTAAGAGTTGTAGTGCAACAGCACTGAGCCCCAGGAGGCTTATGCAGAGCAGCCTCCCCTCCCCGCACCTTCCCTCACCCATCCAGGTACACACTTCCCCTGGCTGGAGAAACAAAGCGTCTACCACCCTGCAAAGCTGGGATTTACACACTGTTATGGTTTGGGTCTAGATGTCCCCCACAAAGCTTCATGTGGTCAAAGGTGGGTGAATCTAGAGTAGGCGATGCTAGGATTAAGGGCGTGTGATTACTACACTACACCTGAGTGAATGGCTTGGCACCACCCTAATCCCCATGGTCTGAAAAGGAGCAGAAAGACACTGTTAAGGACTCTTGCTGCTCTCCTTACCTCATGCAGACCATAATGTTTCTTCTCTGCAGTGCCTGCTTGCCCTGCCTTGGAGCCAGCCAATTATGGACTGAAACCTCTATGAACTGTGAGCTAAATAAACATTTCCCCCTTCAACCTTGGGTGTTGGGTATTTGTCTCAGCAATGAGAAAAGTAACTAACACACAGATATTCCCAACAGACGTGCTTTGCTCAGTGCAAAGCCTATTTCAGAAAAATTTAAAGGGGTGAGCATCAATTGTGGCAATGACACATAAAGCCAACGGCTCTCTGCACCAAGTCACTGGGTTCATTTCTGCTCTGTGTTCCCACTAAATATTAGCAGCTCGCTTATTCCTACTTCGCCGCACTGAAGGCCTTCCTGGGCTGCTGTTCCCTGGCACAGGGTTCTCAGAAGACCACAGCATCACTTCCTAACCAGGCTCCCACCTTGCCCCTCTTGGGAGTCAGCTTTGCAAACGAGCCCGATGAGACTGAATTTATGTTTCTGATACATTAAATTTAAAATTAATTAAATTTTAGTAGGCACACATGGGTGGTGGCTACCATTTTGGATGGCACAGGCCTAGAGGACTGAATCAGGAAAACTTCAAGGGTTCACAGCTTGAGAAACAGTCAGCCCCCAGCCCCTCAAGTTCCCTCACCGTATATCACCCCTGGGGTAGGTACCTGGAGTCTTCTCACCAGTGCCTGTGTCCATGCCACTGGGCTGCATCACCTACCTCTCACCCCAGGGGACTCTGGGGCAGCTAGCTCTTGAGGCCCAGCAGGACACCCCAAGCAGAAAGTGGTCCCTCCCCTGTGGATCCCAGACCCTCGCCTCCAACAGAGGTATGGTGACAGAGGGGCAGAGGGAAGAAGGGGCAGGACTGTCTCTTCCACCATCTCTCAGGTGGAAAATACCAGAACCCAAAGCAACCCCAAACAAACTGACCAACAGAGACCCCTAACTCAGTGCCACCAGATTGGAGCACATTTAGCAAGAATTTGGCTAATGTTGGCAAGGCCTTTCCTGATGCATGAAGTCCCCAGCTGACCCTCCACTCTCACAACTGACTCCTTCCCTGCACTGCACCCCAGCCACTCCTCCCTGGGTCCTGTGCACTGAGAAGACTCCCAGCTTTCCTGTCACCACACACACACCTGACCACATAGTTGGGCCCCCGGCCTCCCTCTCGGAACTGCTGCACCCCTCCTATCTGTGCTGGCTGCTCCCAGAAATGACTCACCCTCTTCTCCCCAGCCCCACCCCCACCCCTGACCAAAGAAACTCCGTGCTGACAGCTTTCATTCCACTCTCTGGAAACCATGTGCCCCTGAACAGCACCCCAGCCTCGCCCAGTGGTCTGAGCCCATTACAGGGCTGCATGAGGTTCGCACACATTACCATTTCCTGGGCCACCTCGTCTGGGGTCTCCTTCTCTAGGTCGAAGGTGAACTCTATAGCGCCATTGTCCTTGGGCTTGCCCTTCAGCTTCTTGGGATCTTCTACCCAGAGCCGCAGGGCAATGGTGGACTTCCTGCCATGGTCCTCCTCTGCCAGTTCCACCCTGACACCAGTGTCCTCCGCAAAGAAAGCATGGCTCAGCAGGTCTTTGATCTCGTACCTGGTGGAAGCAAGTTCACGGAAAAAGGGCTCAGAGACAAGTGGACTCCAGACCCAAGGACATGCACACAGTGCTGCCTCTGGGCACCAGATGGCTACCTGATGTTGCTGCTCAGCACTGGGCTGGCTGTGCTAGAACGTTCTTGGGCTTCACCACCTGGCAAGCAGGCTCAGCACTGAGGGTGTGAGGGTGTCTCCTAACTATGAGCATATGCACTTGTGAGGACCCGGAGGTGAGAACCAGCTCCCATCAGAGTGTGCCCTTACTGCCTCAGGCTCTAAGACTTCTTTTCTTCTCCTTGCCCACTGAGCAGACACAGCCCCTGCTGATGCGCACAGGAGCTTCCAATCCCCACAAGAGACCCCTGGCTCTGGTGGGACTGGAGGGGGCAGCACTACAGAGCCCCCCTATGCAGTGCCATGATGGGGCTCCTGAGCCTCTATGGAGCAGAGGGGTTTGCAGGGAGGCCTCCTGTAGGAGGGGGATCCGGTGAAGCCCAGAAGAGGAGGAATGTATGCTAGAGAAGAGCAAAAGCAGGAAGGTGAACAAGGACCTATAGGATCCAGGGGTGGGAGCTGACCTTAGCCATGGGAGGCACTACAGGGGAGGTCCAGTATCTGGCAGCTACGTGTTGCTATGGTGACCACTTTCAACTCTGCACATCTATATCACACAAACACATTTCCAACACAAGCCCCGCTCTCTTTTTTGGCACAAATGTAATCACACAGCGAGAACTACTGTAGGTCTGCCTTCTTCCAGTATTGCTGTCTGCAGAGCCACTGCATGGATGTAAGCATCAGCAGCCCCTCCCTGTTAACAGCTGTGGGTGTTTTGTGCCCCGGTTTGTTTTAGGGGGGAGAGAAAACTGAAAAGTGCCCCCCACTGGTCCATCTGGAAAAGGTGACCCTGCTCTGGGTGGGAAGATGGCTTCATAGAGGGGTTAAAGGGCCCTGAGGTGGGTGTGCTGCCTTAGAGGCATCCAACAACTAGAAGCCCACGTACACAGCTAAGGTTTAAAAGAGAGTGGGGCAGAGGCAGACTTGGGAGCTCCAGGCGTGCAGATGTTTACCAAGGTCAAGGAAATGCATACAACTCCTAGGGTCGACTAGAAAAAAAGCAGAGGCAGAGGGAAGCCTGAGGCTATCAAATGCTCCAGGCCTGGGTCAGCACTGCATCTAGGGTGGCAGAGAAAGGCATGGGACTGACAGCTGCCCACACCAGCTTCTGGCCTGGTATCACTGTGGCCTGAGCCAGTCTGTCTGTTCTCTAAAGCACTCTCTCATTGGAAATAGGCTCTAAATGTCAGCTGGAGTGGTTTTAGGTGGAGAAAGACCCAGACCCAACATCACACTAGAACTCACCTTTCCTCCTTGTTCTTGCAGATGCACTCCCCAATAATCTCCTTGATTTCTGGATCATGCACTTTCTCAAAGCTGGCAGGCTTAATGCCCTGAGGAGGAGAGAGCAGAGACACCTAACACCACTGAGAGGCGGGGAAGTACTACCTCTACCCCTGTGCAGGGAAACTCCTCCACATGTGGTGAAAGTGGCACCGAGCTTATCCTCCACAGATTACTAGGAAACCAGGCAAACCATGCCAAATGGCCACATTCAGGAGCTGAATGATGGGCTGTAGGATGTGGGCTCAGAGAGCGATCCACAGGGTGCTCCCTCCCACGACCCAGCTCACTGCCTGGACTACTTCCCAGAATGAAGCAAAGAACCCAGCAGCGCCTGCAGTCTCACTGAGCTGAGGGTAGAGCTCAGATTTCAGAGCGGCTAAAGAGGCAGAGTTCTGGAAAGGAAGGAACTCCAGATGTGTGCAAAGGACCACCGCAAGTCTTTGCTCAGCTCCCAGCCCCATGAGTGTGTAGTTAATGCCACAGGTCTGGACAAGGAGCCACTGGGGGAGCTGTAGGCAGAGCCATTCCCAGAATTTGTGCAGAGGACAGATGTTGCTATGTGTACAAGCTACAGCATGCAATCTAAAATTAACAGACACACCAGGATGCAAGAAATATAACCAGTCACCTGGCAGGAAAACCAGTCAACAGAAATGTGAAAGATGCTGGACTGTGTGACAAGGAGGTTAAAACTCACTGTAACTATGTATAAGTCTTAAAAGGAAAATGAACATAGTGAATAACAGAAACATAGATATAAAAAAAGAACCAAGTGGAGCTGGAAATCAAAAACATGATGTCTGAACCGAAAGTTTCACTGGAGCAGATCAACTGCTGACCAGACAATGCAGAAGAAAAGACACAGCAATCGGATCCACTGGATATAAAAATGGTCACTGAGGCTCTGTTCGTCGCCTCAGAATATGGGACACCAGCAAGGGTGAAATAGGACAGGATGGGGGAAGGGTAGGAAAATGCCTGAAGGAACGAGAGCTAACGGTTTTCCAACTGTGATGAAAACACTATGCCCACAGATGCAACACGCTCAAGCCCCAGGCAAGGTAAAGCAAAGAAGGTAAACTGTGTGAAGCCCAAGGGGTGCACTGTTTTATCTTCCTCTGCACTGCATGCAATCCAGAGCCTGCTTTCTTAGCACTTAGGTCTTGGCGTGGAAAACACTTTCTCAGGCTACCCCACATCTGTCCAAGTATGCAGCAGCCACCACCGACACCTACCCCAGCCTTGCACTGGAGTTGAGCGCCCCCCATCTCCATGACAACCATCACCCCAGCAATGACACGCAAGGCAGCCTCCACCTGTGCGGCAGAATGTGATGCTGGGCTTGACACCTCAGATACAGCAGTGAGTTTCTGGAAAGGTGTTGGTCAGAGCTTAGCTGCAGAGCCTCCCCTGCAAGGAGCTGAGGATCTCGCCTGCCTCACTGCCGGGAGGGGAACCACAACAACAGGGTGGGTTCCATGCTTCCCACAGAGCCAAGCCTCTCTAACCACACCTGGGCCTCCTTCCCACACATCTCCTCAGAGGGCAAGAACACTGTGGTCACTGCTGCAGGCCAGGGAGACTTTCTGGGAGGGGGGAGAGGTACTGGACTGAGGGCAGCAGCCACTCCCTGGCTACCTGGTGCGCACGTGCAGAGGGAACACAGAGAGGCCCACAGTAAAAGCAGGAGCCAGCAGGGTCCACTAGGGATGGGGGACAGGTCAGGGAGAGCGGGCAAGCTGTCTAAAAATAATTTCAATACATCAAAGGCACCAGCCATCGCATTCTTCTTCCTTTAACAAGATTCGGCCTTTGAAAGCTGTGCTTTGCCATTTTTTTTAAATGTAGAGAATATAAAGTGTAAAATCTCCCAAGAGATAGGACACAGGGTAAGGTATCGCCACTGAGCCTACTGATAGGTGCTGGAACCCGAGCTGGGGCAGATATAAGTGGAGAATCCCAGAGGTGTCAGCCAGCAGCGTCCACTTGTTCAGTCTCCCCCTGTGGATACACCACCAACCACACGCCAACGGGAATCCCTACCTACATCGAATCTCTCTGTCCCCCTTCTGCTTGTCAGATCACCCTTGTCTCCCTTTGTGGAACTCGTTCCTCTTTGGGGTTTCTGAGCCAGGCCCACAAGAGCCACTAGCCAAGGACTCTGCCTGCCACCCGCTGTGCACAGTGCGCACAGGATCAGCTAAGGACAACCAAGTACCTGATCATTTGGCCAAAGCAGAAAGATGTATATCATCTAAGAGGAGGGCTCAGCTGGAGGGCAGGGCCCAGGGCGAAATGGTGGGGTGCCCAGAACTGTACTCCATGTATCTGCGAAAGCAGCTTTGACCACCCAGATGCCCACAGAAGAGATGTGTGGGACAGCATCATACCCAGCCAGAGGTACCCAGGAGAGGCAAAGGCAGCCAGGACGCCAGGGATTACAGGGGCCACTCCGCAGGCCTCCTGGTCTCAATACAAGAACAAAGAGGGGACAATGCAGGAAGCAGCACAGAAAAGACCAGGCCCAGCCACTCTGCCTCCCCACTCTCTGTTTTGGTTCCCCCAGCCAGTGGGGCCACAACGGAAGAAGGACAAGGCCCATCTGTTTGTACAGCTGAAGCTGGCTTGTCAACTCAAAAATCACAACAATAGCAAAACAGGGATTAAGGGTCCCAGGCTGCCTAAAGTTGCACCTACCTGGAGAAGCATTTGGCTAGGACTGAGAGTTTGGTGAAAAGGAAAACTATGGTTCCAAAATAAAGAAGGGGAAGCCAGTAGCCCTGGGCCAGCCTAGAGAAAGGGCTCCAGGGACAGGTCTTCTGGGTACAGCTACAGCCTCCTGAGCCTGTTTCCCAGATGTCTGGGCCTCACAGTGCCGGGTACATGACAGCCTCCAAGGCTAAGCGCTGCTCATCATTTCTGCTAGGAGACCTCACCCAGCCAAGCCTTTGCTTCCCCATCTGTAAAGTGCCTGTGATCCCTTTTCCTTATACTGCTGCTGTGGAGGACTTTCCAAAGACTGTCAGAGCCAGCTGAAGCTATGGCCCACACCCACTGCACTAACAAGGTGGCTGGGTGGACTCACACAGGTGACCTTGCGGTAGATCTGGGCAGCGTTCTGGCACTCCGAGTAGGGGTACTCCGAGGTAGCCATCTCCAGCATGCACATCCCAAAGGCGTAAACGTCCACAGACTCATCGTAGTGCTCCTCATACATTTCTGGTGCCATGAACTCAGGCGTACCTGCACCAGGAGCAAAACCTGCGGTCAGCCAGCCACACCCAAGAATGCTGGGAGCCAGTGCCCAGGGGCCCCCTTAGCCTGTCAGAGTCCGTCCCCCACCTCCTCCCCATCTGTCCAATGGCACCCTCAGGACACCCAGCTCTATGACATCTGTTCTGTAACCCAGGATTCAAACAGATGTGCTCCGTAGTTTCCAAAACTCCTCCAGAGCCTCATGATTCCAGGGTTAGTAGTCAGCTCAAAACACCATCTCCTGCCCAGAGGACTTCTCAGGGATATGCCCGCGCCCTGAGCACACCCCTCACCTGAGTGTGAGTACTGGACCTCTGAAGACAGGCTCAGCACTGACTGCACTCAGCAGTCCAGAGCGGACAAAAACCCAGTAGTCACCACAGAGCTGCTTCTAGCTGCAGAAACCCAGGGAGGCCCTAAGTGTCCCTGAGCAGGGGCGTGGCTGGGGTCACTGGGCACACCCCAGAGACCAGTGTCACCCGGCACACGCAACTGTCCTCACCACAGAACACACAGCACCATGGCTGGACAAATGCACTCAGCCGACGTGAACCACAGAGACACAAAGACCAGAACCACTCATGGTGTATTAAAAAAGGAGCAAGACCATGTCTGATCTGAACCTTCAAGGATAAAGAAACTAATGATAGGCTGGTAAAATAAATAATATATATAAGTGCACCTGCTCATGGCCTCACCTACATAAAATGACACACAGCCAGGGGACTGTCAGGGAGGGGCTGTGGCTCATTTTCCTCTTACTTGCTTTACTTATGGGGTTTTTAAATTTTCTATAACAAGTTTTTGCTTTAATAATCATAAAAGCCCTTTATTAAAATAAGTCAAGTAGAATATTGAGCTGGACTCAATGAAGATGAATCACAGACTCGGGTGGCTTTTAACATCTGTATGTTTGCTGACTTTGCAACATTTTTCTAAAAGGTTCTAGTGTTGTTTTTTAAGCAGCTGCAAAATAGTACCAACTAATCCATTGCAGTAAAAAGCACATGTTGAGGTTTCTTTTATCCATCTGCTGCACAGGCCTAGGCCAAGCACCTCAGTCCTAAGGCAGGCCTGCTATGGTGGGGGCTGGAGTACAGTGAGATGCAGGGCTCACTGGGAAGCCCCAAGCTGCAGGAAGGAAAGGCTCACTCTCTAGGGACACCTCAATTGCCAACAATGCCACCCACACTAACCAATCACCATGATGACATCTGCCAAGGGCCATGTGGGACAATTTGCCCTGTGATGGCAGAGAAAAACCACAGCAAAGCCCTTTCCTGCCAGAGGTGTAGGCAGAGTAACAAAGGGTGTGTCCTAGGCCCTTGGCCTGGCCACATCTACCACAGGGACAAGCACACTGGGAGCCTGATCCCCAGAGCTGCTAGGCAGTCAGCAGGGAACTAAGGCGGTCACTCTGTGGCACCTGCAAGGACCCCAACCCACTTAGCTATCCATAGGCCAGCCAAGGCCCAGGTGGAGGCAGCAGGGACCCTGGCCTGGCTTCTTTGGAACCTGCAGACACTCAGGACCCTGCTCTGCAAGCAATGCCCTAAGACCAAAGATGCCCTGCTCTGGAGGATGGCCCGGGTCCAGCTCAGAGTGGGTCAGAGACCCTGAGAATGCCTGGACCCTGGTACTCTCGGTTCTTTCCTTTCTCTCATACTACAGTCTTTAAATCTGAAATTTAGAAATAGGTAAGCATGTGTGAGCACGTGTATGTCCAGTGGACAGTCTCACCCTCCATCCAGCTTTGTGTTTTGCCATCTGTATAGAGCGGCCTGCCCTGGGCCCCCATCCAAAGCCCCCTCCCATACCTGCTGTACTCCGAGTCCTGCAGACAACGTTTTAGGCCTCATCTCCCCTCCCTCCCCTCCTTTAGGCCTCCCTTTTAGGCCTCTGGACCCAGGCACAGCTGAGACATCAGGTACTGGGGACCTCGCCTTGACCAGTCTCCTCCCCTGACCCTGCAGGAGGCAACAAGAGCTGTGTGGATGGCCACAGCCTTTCTTCTGCCTTTTAACAGAGAAATGGCTGCAGACAACAGATGGGGAAGGGCTGCATCCCAGGTCCTGACAGAAGTGAGGTGGGGAGGGACTGGCTCCAGTCTGATGTTAAAAATCACCCTATAACCCACAGAAAGTGTTTCTGGCTGGTAACAAAAGACAGTGACTTCCTGTACGAAATCAAAGCCCTATTTCCTAACCTTGCCTGTCTTCATAACTATGTTAGACCAAAACTAAGCCAACACAGTTGGCCCCTGCCCACCTTATCACCCAACACGTGAAACCTGCCTCCTTTCTCTCAGCAAAGGGAACAGGTGGGAAACCCCTGTAGGGGACCCCACATGGTCTGGTGCCCCTAAGTGTTCATCTATAACTATAAAGCAGCCAATAGCGCCACCCGTCCAGGGCCACCCTGCAGTTCTTTCCAGAGCAGCCACTCAGCTCACCTTGGCCTCCTCCCCAGTTTCCTCGGCACTGGGCCCAGCTCTACCACTGCCACTTCCAGGAGCCCTCCTGGGTCAGCCAGGCACCGCAGCATCCCCAGGGCCCTGCTTGAGGCATGGTGGGGACACACTGCAGCAGGCAGGACTGCATCCACCTCATCGCCATCCCCTCAGGCTCAGCACACACAAACCAGCAAAACCCACATGGAGGCGTGAGAATCCACAAGTCAAACCCGCCTATGGCACCTGGCTTATACCTATGTCCTCGCCTGGCACTGAGCTTAGAATGGCACCTGGGCATGGGGAGGTTGTCTCCTGAAACCATACACTCCCCTCCCAGGACAGACAGTGGCTGCAGACCTCCACCTTCCTGTGAGTCACACCTGAAGGACAGACCCTAAGCCTACAAGAGGAAACCCCGAGAGCCACAGCAGGAATGTCCACACACTGACTGCTTCCGGGGGAACCTGGACATACACATGGGTAGGGGCTGTGGAGTGAGGCTGTCCTGACAAACTGAGGACTCCAGAGGGCCCGAGCCTGCTGGCCATAAGGCAGATGTGAGTTAACACCCCTCTCAGGCAGGGCTGACCACTAACAGGCCTGGGAGAGAGGCTTCAATTCAATGGACTGGGCTCACCTGGGAAACAGGTCTCAGTGAACCCCACCTGCCCGCTGCCCCTCACCCAGCTGCTGGCCCTTGCCCTGGTAACAGGCCCTTGCCCTTATTTTCCATGAGGAGAGGCACCTGAAGACACTTCTGGTCCCAGCCTCACTAACCCAGGCTTCTTAGACTCCAGCTGAGCCAAAGCCAGGGTGACCAGTGCAGGAGACGCAATACTGATTATGCCCAAAGCAAGCTGTAAGCAATGCAGGCTGTGAAGAGTTAAACCCACAATTGGCTTGTTTTGAGAAACAGAGTCTGACCAAAGCCTACATGCCAAGGTCAGAGTAACTCATACCCAAATTCTATTCCCACCACTAAAACCTTCTTACTAGAAGGGCAATGTTCTAATCACAACCATACATTTTGTCTATTCTGTTCCTAATTTGAGAATGCTTTGTTTTTTTCCTTTATGAGCCTTGTCTCCATTAGTTTCCATAGAAACTGTACAATTACGCATCCTTGCTCATAGTTCACCTTTACCCCAACTGATGACCAATAAAAATCAGTGGTTTGGACAGACCAGTGCCTTTTGCTTAAAGCAGCACTGGCCATCCTGGCCGCTGCTTTCTGTCTCTCTTAGTTCTTTCTTTTAGGCTTTTTTTTCCTCAGGCTTGCATCATACACTGAGCAGGAGACTGGAGCCTACTGCAGAGGTTTCCAGTAATGTTTCAGCAGTTTCCAGTAGATCAGGGATACCCCACAGACCCAGGCACTCAGTGTGAGACACAGGGCCTTGCTGTGCCTGCCAGAAACACCCAGCCTTCACCTCAACCCACTCACATCATCCAACCTGGAATGGGAAACCTTGTTCCCAAGGGGGCAAAGAAGCAGGAGACTGGAGCCTACTGCAGAGGTTTCCAGTAATGTTTCAGCAGTTTCCAGTAGATCAGGGATACCCCACAGACCCAGGCACTCAGTGTGAGACACAGGGCCTTGCTGTGCCTGCCAGAAACACCCAGCCTTCACCTCAACCCACTCACATCATCCAACCTGGAATGGGAAACCTTGTTCCCAAGGGGGCAAAGAGCATGCCAGCCAGAGAGGACCAGGAGCTCACTAGGCACCTCGGCTTCTGGGGGGGGGGGGCATTTGTTCG